CTCTAGGCAGAGTTTTTTTGTTTCAGAGGGCTATTGGTCGTTGATCTCCTAGAACGGCTGTTCCGAGTGGGATAAGTTTCCGAGAACCGCAATATGTAGAGGGAGCTAAAATAGCTGACAAATCACAGTTGCAAATTTCTCCTAAGGATGAACTCGACATGCATGGGTGAATCTTCAAAGAAAGCATATAACGTTGACACAATCAATCAGGTATGCGCGTGAGGAGCTGCAGGAGACCAGGCGGGACATTTGGAAATATCAACACCAAAGCACGATTGGAATGCCTCACATGAAGAAGGCTTTTGTGCAGCAGCCATAGTGAAAGAAGGGCTTCGTGAATATGTGTGCGCGCAAAAACCTTTCCTCGTTCAAGATTGCAAAAAAGGCGGAAGCGCTCACTGCCCGCAAAAGCGCAAGAGAGGACTTAAACGCACCTACAGTTGCAAAATTGGAAGAGCTGATTAAAGAAGCTTGAGAGATTATCAGTCTACTTCAATTACTGTTTTGCCGCCATCTTCTCATAAAAATTCATTTTGTGATTACTTTTAGCTCGAAAGATTCAAAGCAGAAAACACAGTCTTTTGCATCTAGAAACAATAAAATAGTGAGTAATTTGTTTGTATTAGGCTGTAAACTAAGTTTTGCAACTGAATTCATAACTTCACTCCCTCCCAACATGAGGCATCCAAATTTTGCCATTGTGTAGTTGTGTAGGTTATTACGTTAGCTACAAGTGCAGCTGCTATTCTGCCAAATGACGTCACAATGACGGTTATGGTAGGTATATGGTATGAAGGGGAAAAATTCAAAGTTTGACGGATTTGGCTGAAACTTGGCATAGGAGTGTTATCCGGCATGCTGTGATGACGAAAACGATAGTGAAATTGCGTGATAAGGGCTTTTTCGTAAGGTTACTTAGGTTTACAATACAGGGTCTCACCCTAAACAAGGAAAGAGGCATTGGTATAGCAAATGAATACGATATTCGCGTTCGGCAGGTCAAATAAGCTTACTATGTAAAGTCTCGGCGGAATTTGAGCTTCGGACTCTTTGGTCATTGACGGTCGTCCCCAGCAGCTCTTGCGTACATCGACTCGTTCGACTTTGTGAGGACGCCAAATCTCGACATGCCCCTAAATTTTGTTTCTTTCTTAATAGGCCAAAGGATGCAACCTCCAGCAATAATTTGTAGACGATTCGGATTACTGCGCATGGTCTATGCTGCTAAAGGCTTCATTTTAGCTTAAAACCCCAAAAATTCTCAAATTTCACTAGTTTTCGAAAAATGCCTGAAACTTTTCTATTTCGTGTTTAAAATTTAGGCAGTTCGTGCGCACTTGTAGCACACATTGAGATCTACATATAGCCAAAGTTTGAGTGCGCCACACCCAAAGAGAGTGAAGTTATGAAACCAGTTGCAAAACTTAGTTTACGGCCTAATATTTGCAAAAAATTTGCCTCCGAAAATATCCGAACAGTTGTGGTTTGACGGCGTCGTTATTAATTCTTTATTGATTGATTATTTATTTAGTAAACAAATAAGACAGGTACGAAAGACAACTCAAAAACGCAACGATTTACCGAATGAGAACAATATAACAAAAAGCTCATGAAAAAAAAAACAAGTAAACAGATTATAGGTTAAAGGGATCTTAAGATGATACCAACATGTTACGAGAGTGAAGGTACTCAAGCAAATGAGAGCAGAAAGATGAACAATGAAGAACACTTCAAAAGCTGGGGGTCCAGACCATTCCAGGGCATCTGCACACGTCCAATGAAGCTTTGCTTATAAGAAGAAAGTCTGGCTTTATCGACTTTAATTTTGAACGGATGGCCTCTTGTTACATTTACTCGCTGTGGTTCTTCAAAAATGTCAAAAAGGTTGAAGTCAAGTTCGTTGCTGAGCTTGTAGATGAATGCAAAATCCGCAAGAATTCTTCTGTCTTCCAGTGTAAGGGTATGCAATTTTTTGATCCTGCCGAGATAAGACAGTTCAAATATGCCTTTTCTGGCGAAAATTCTATAAGTAAAGCACTTCTGGACTTTCTCTATAGCTTCAATCTGTGCTCTGTCTTGAGGAGACCACAGAGTAGAGCAATATTCGAGTAAAGGTCTAACGTAGGCAAAAAACAGTTTGAAAAGCAGTATGGGATCTCGACTGCTAAATGCTTTGAGGATATGATTTGATCGGCATTTAGCCCTTGAGACGATCTCTGAAATGTACGCGTGGAAGTCGAAGCTGTCAGTATACTCAACACCCAAATCACGAATTGAACGGGTACGATGTAAGATGGACCCTTCAAGCGTGAATTCAACTATGGGGTGGTTTCTGCGGAAGTTAAAACACAGGTCTTCTCCTTGAAAATAGTTAGCTGCCATGTTGACGATCATGCAGCAAGTGCATTTATGGCTTCTTGTAAGAGAGCGGCATCATTTATGGTGTAGATTTTGGAATCATCAGCATAGATGGAACAGAAGGTGCCCACTGGGAGAGCGCTAGGAAGGTCATTTATGTATACGAGAAACAGCAAAGGGCCGAGAACCGACCCTTGAGGTACACCGCTCGTGTTATTGTAAACCCGTGAATTAACGGCGTTGTTGGTAACTGATTGTTGTCTACCAATGAGAAAGGAGTTCAAAAATTTTAGCAACGAGCCTTGGATGCCATAGGCTTGGAGTTTAACAAGAAGCAGCGGTATAGAAATGGAGTCAAAGGCTTTGCTGTAGTCTACAAAGCATACAGAGACATATCGGCATCGATCCACTTCTCTATGCCAAAGCGGGACCGAAGACATGAGAGCAGACATAGTTGATCTCTTGCTAAGAAAACCATTTTGCGCCTTGGTAAGTAGCTTATTTTGGCTCAAAAATTTGATAATACCCTCACACAGTATTCTTTCCAAAACTTTACATACTGAGCAAGTCAAACAATTGGGCGGTAGTTGCCAACGGATGTTTTGAGCCCCTTCTTGTGGATGGGCTTAACAAGCCCAAGCTTCCAAATTTGCGGAACCTCACCCCTCAAGAGGAATCTGTTGAACAATATGGTAGGGGGGAAGCTAGTCCCAGAGCGGCATTTTTTAGGAAAATGTACGGTATCCCATCTGGAGAGGTGGAGTTCCTTTTTTGGCAATTTGCGAAGCTTATTGTAAACCACTTCGGTAGTGATAGCGACCCAGTCAAGTACTTTATCAGTTTCAGGGACCAGTGTCACGAAAGTGGGGGAATGACTCTTATGTAAACCTTCTCAAAGTAATCTGCGAAATGGTTTGCTTTTTGCATGTCATCACGTAAGATGTTGTCACCTTCCCTGAGATTAGGTATACGATCCGAAAGTTTCAGCTTGTGGTTACAGTACCTGTAAAATTCTCTGTAGTGTCCCGAACTAGCAATTCTGCTTTCGCTGGCGCTCCTCCAGCGGGCTACTTCCCGCTTGAGTTTACGAGCCAACGAGCTGTACTTATGCATACCCAGTGAGGCTCGACAGTGATAAAGATAAGCCACTCTCTTACTAAGCCTAAGCAATTTATCAGGTATTTAACATATGTGCCATGCTTTCTGCGAAGTGGACATACTTACGTATAAGTAGATGGCAGATAGAAACGAAATGCCCATAGCATTCGTCTGAACTTGAACAACAATCAAAGATCTGATGCCAATTATACGAACTAAATTCATGCACAATCTTAGTGTAATTTGCATTCTGGAAATCAAGGAAATCGCCTTTGGGCTCAAGATCAAAGTAATTTCTGGTAACTTCCAGGCAGACCATATTATGGTCTGAAGTACTAAACGGCGGCATAACACTGACACAATCAACGATAGCTGGGTCGTCAACTAGAACCAGATCAAGAACATTGAGCCCATGGGTGGGAGTAGTTACAAGCTGGCAGAGGCCTTGCGCCAAACAGAAATCAAGAAATCTGGCAGCTGAGTTTGTTGACATATTGTCTCTGGTGGCCATATTGTCCCAGTCTATAAGTGGGAAATTGAAATCTCCCAAGACAATGGTTCTACATCGTGGCTCAACCATAAACTGACCGAGAAAATCAAGTAAGTCGCAAAGTGCATCTTGACTACATGACGGACTTCTATAGACAGCTATGACATTTATATCACTGCTAGCAAACGTAACTTGAGTGACCAAACATTGACAGAATTCGATAAAATTTCTTGTTTCTAGAAGCGAATGCTTCAGACAGGACGCAAAAAGTGCAGCTACCCTACCCCCAGGACGTTTTCCTTCACGATCACAACGATAAACACAGTAATTATTTGAAAAACTGAGGGTGGCATCATGTAAAATTTGAGGCTTACACCAAGTTTCAGTAATAACTACACAAAAAGGACGACTATTAAAGAGAAGCTCAAGATCGGGGATTTTGTTGGTGATAGAACGTGCATTAAATAACAAAAGGCGATTTGAAAAAAGGCAATTTGACAATAAAAATCTGGTAGAAGTATTGCGTGGGCGCATGCCACTTACCACCATATCCTAGCGATGAAGGCGATCCCGTGTTCCCTGATCCATTCGAGGGGCAGAGGGCGCTGTCCCTCGAATGGATCAAGGAACACGGGATCGTCTCATCTTGACTCTGTCCCGTTGGTGGTTGTGGCTGGGCGAGTAGCTGACACCTGATCGTGAAGGAGAACTGCAAGCACTGAGATTTTCCGCGATTACATTTTGGTGAGTGCCACTCAGAAAATTACCAGAACTTGCCAGTGCGCGCGGATTTTTTAATTTGTGTATCCGCAAATCCCGTACAACATAAAGGAGTTTCCCTTCTTGGCGGTTCAGAAGTCCGGCTTTTCTTCGCAAGGCTCTGTCAAATTCAAGCTCTTCAAAAGTGTAATCCCTACGCGCATAAGAATGCGAAAATTGCTTGGTTAAAGAAAGCCTTGCCCTTTTCATCTGGTTTGGAAGATTATCCCTTATTTGTGGGTTCGAAGTAGTGATTTTAATGATACGGGGGCGCGAAGACTTCTTTGTTCGTACCTCAGGGAAACACGACGTCGATCCTGCGGTTGGTCCATTCCGCGACCAGCTCGTCATCCCCAGATGCATCAATTACTTCTTTTATTGCTTCCCGATCGAACGCAGCGGTCGCTTGCGGTGTCCCCTTCTCTTCGATCCCGACCCAGGTAATTCTGCACTCCTTTTCTTTGACTATCCTGGAATCCGAGTTGAATTTCGCAAGAGCGCTATAAACGGCATCGTTTAGAGTTTTGTCAAAATTGGAGACGCGTGCATCTAATTCCTTTACAGTAGAGCACAGAAATTGCTGGGTTTCCTGCATCTTCATCAACAACGCAAAAATCCGATTAAACCTTTCTAAATATTCTTCCCATTTCGTAAGCATATCCTTGACCCACGTGGAGCATGCGTCGGCTTCATCACATCTGCTTCTCTTCGGCGCCATTCGAGGAAGACGTGGGACGAGGAGGCGTGGAGGTGGAGGGCACACGAAGGTGTAAGGGGGAGGCGTGGTTGATATGATGGCGTAAATCGAGCAGCAAACAGCCTCGATCGATCACGCTCGATTGAAGAAGGGCTCCAGCGTAGGTCTTAAAATTGGAGTCGGCAGTCCAAAACAGGATATTGGCCGGTGGAAGTCGAAGCAGGAGGGTTGAGGGAGCTTGAGCGAGCGTCGTGGCCTCAGAAGTCAAAACAAAGGCCAAAGGTGTAGGGAGGAGGCAGGTGGAGGTTGAGGAGTGGGGGAGGTAGCGGCCGAGGATGGAGCAGCAGCAGGGCGATGTAGAACGGCCGTCCAGTGGCAAGATCCGGTGGTCAATGGCAAGATCCGGCGGTCAATAGCAAGATCCGGCGGTCAATCGGCAAGATCCGGCGGTCAATGGCAAGATCCGGCGGTCAATGGCAAGATCCGGCGGTCAATGGCAAGATCCGGCGGTCTTTATCATGCTGCTTGGGGACGACTGTAAGCTTCGCCGTCAATTGGTAATTTTAATTCAGCTAAGTTTCAAGCCGCACTTGATTTAGAACTTACTAGCTAGCTTTCCTGGTTCAGCCCAGCATAGTTACTGTACTGCGAGACCATCCCCTCTATTCACGTTATGACTCACCTCGAGACCAACTTCACTTCGATTCACAGCATCCTTGAATCCTAATTGTAAAAATAGAATGAGCTTCACCGACCCCGATTACGTGACTATAAGAAAATCAGTGCGTCAACTCTGCTTCGCAGAGGCTCGCACTGGTTCCACCATCTGCGCCTTTCCCATGTTTATTTAATGACCAGTGCGTCACCTCTGCTTCGCAGAGGCTTGCTTATTCAATGATGGCTGTGGAACTCACCGCGCAATGCTGGTCATCACAAACAGTTGGTAAACATTACTCATTCTTGAAGCTTTTTCATGTAAGACCGGAGATTCTGAATGGAGGAATTCTCCGTGCCGAGAAATAGCAAATAACTGATAACCGAATTCATGTTGGCTTGATAGTTGCTATGATGGCAACGACTACCGAGAGCTAACTCTCTGAACAAAGTCATTCTGAATCCTTAAGTAACGCCTCCACCAAACGATCAATGCAATCATCCTTTTTTGTGCCGTTCTTGCCAAAGAATGCGATGTTTATCACTTTTCAAGTTAAAGTCAATGGCTTAAAGACTACATGAACAGAACTTTGTAATTCTGTAAAAAGTCTGCATTCAGGCCCAGCTTTGCAGACTAAAAGCCGCATGGAGTCATTTGGCGCACACTTTCCCAAGATTTATGCCTATCGGATCGGCTTGTGCTTTTGCACAGTTGATCTACATGCTGAAAGGGTGCTATGGCCAAAATTCTAGCTCAAGGCCTTTGCTGGAACTTGCTCCATAAATTTCGTGGCAGACAGATATTCAGACGCACACACACGAGAACGCGCAAACAACCCTTAGCCCGTTATTATAAGTCATGGTTCTTGGCTAGAACATGATAGGCTTTCACTGTTGAAATGAATAATCAATGAAGCGATGGAAGAACATAACAAATTCCTCATAAAATAGACTATTTCTTTCTCCGGGCTCGAAACATATGTCTGCAAAGTTTCAGCTCAATTGTTTACGTAGAGCGACGTCTATAGGCCACATACTTACCATTTGATTCAACTGGCTTGGCTTCGAAAAGGCGGGGCTTTGTGACCTAATTAAGGTTAGGTAATGATCAAAGAGCACTCGCGCGAGAGAGACGCAGGTGCGTCGCGGGCGCGAGGGGCGTTGATTTGGTTACAGAGCTCGGGAGGCGGTCAAGAGACACGATTTCTCCGGCTGTCACCAGCTCAAAACCACGGTTTAGTGCTATGCGAGTCTCTAAAAATTCCCAGATAAGGTGCGTTGGCTTACCACCTGTCTAAGGTTACCACTTGCTGAGTTTGATGGTTTTTGCTATAAAACGGACTGAAATATCTACAAATTTGTTCTTACACACGTTTTCATGGGTTTTTGACCACAAAACTTGCTGTTTTTGATTTTTCCTATCTGATGTCTTTTTTTTAAAAATTCATATACTTTTAAAAAGTTGTAAAACACATATTATGTGCTATTTGGTGTCCAGCTGGCAATAAAAATCGCGCCTCTTGACATACACCCACAAAGCTCTGCCTTTCCGAAGCCAAGCCACTTGAAACAAAGGATATGTACAATTTTTTCGCTTTATATGTATGTAAATTGGAAAGACATTGTTTTTGCGAATGTGAAGTAGGATAATCTAAGCTTATAAACTCCGACGATTTTAGTGGTTAAGCAGAAAAACCCATTGGTCAAAGACCCAAACTGCTACGCTGCAGCTGCAAATTTCTCGACACTATCTGCATGAATTAGTCTTAAACTTCATTGAGCTGAAAGCATACCTTCGATAGTCTAGAGACAGGGCGTCAAAAGTGAAGGTTGTTTGAACATCTGACGTCATAAATAGTGAAGGTTGTTTAAAGATGATCAAAGAAGAGAAAATGACATAAAACAGATACAAAAAGCAAAAGAAACTGCTGAAAATGGGATAAAAACGCTGCAATGAGGCCTGAAATCTTTCATTTGGCGGCTTTTCAAAGTGCAAGTTTTCGCTTCAGGACCAGCAATTCGCAACACGGGGTTTTGATTTTTGATGCGTCCTTTGAATTTTTACCCCCGCATTGACGTTCCTGTTTCCTGGGACGTTGTCTGGATTGTTGCGCTTATTGTTCTGAGCAACAATCGCCCAATCTGGAAAAAAATCGATGCGAAGGCATTGAAACAGAACAAGGAAAGAAAAACGCACTTTTTACGATTTTTCGCAAAAAAATCCACAATAATCGAAGAGATAAAGGCTGGGTGGTTGTCTGCATTATGAACAGAAGCAAGATCTATAGAATGCACGAAAAAACCGGATAAAAAGAGGTAAACTAAAAGAAAAACAAGAGATTTTCGAAAACAAGGTTTTTGCCGGATTTCTCGTCCAAATCAAGAAATGTGATTTTGGGACGTTGTCAGCGTGAAAACATAGATCAAGAGCTTCAAAATGATATATAGCTTGCTAAAATTGGGTACGAAACAGCGAAGAAAAGGGTACCAGAGCCAAATGCCCCGCGCCCCGCGTTTGGGGTAGCGAGGTAGCGCGCAGCGCGAGGAGACGCAGACGAGCAGCGGAGACAGACCAGAGCCGACGGGGCATTTGGCTCTGGTCGTAGATCTCCGCGGGGTCTCAACGAAACCCTGCAACATTATATATCATTCTGACCGTCATGACACGACGAGGAGAGCTGACAACGTCCCAAGCTTTGAAAGTCACATACTAACGAGATAGACCAGCATTTTCGTGCGCGACTCTCTGCGCACAATTAAGCGCAGTTTCTCATTTTAATTCAACTACAACAGCTTTCCGAACTTTTGAAACTCATTTTTGGTCAAGTAGGAGGCTAAATGAGGAACGTTGTCCTGAATTCTGAGGAAATTTTCACAGATATTCTCTTTTCAGCGTAAAAAAGGCTTTAAAAAAAGCAATTTCTCGGTTTCGCTGAGACATTCTTCAGATATTCTTTCCTATATTTGGTTCATTCACATTCTTCCGATATAGTTAGGATTATAACAACCGGGGCTTGGCCCCGGATAACTTCTGTTTTTTTCCCAGGTGAAGGTTGTGTCCCCTCATAGCCCTCAAAGTGAAGGTTACCAGAGTATGTGGCTCTATGTATCGAGGGCTGAAAGGAATGTTTCAGATCTCAATGTAATTAGTACGACCAAGTCGAATTTCCATATGACATACTTGCTTTTGTGTAATGCCATATTCTAGCTACTGGATACCTTAACTCACGGCGTACCAAAATACCAGCATTCTTTTCAGCTATATACTCAATATTCAGGCAAAAAAGGACGGCGAGAAAATTGAAGTGATTTTTGAGTTTACAGTCTTGAGGCTTAATAGAGAATGCTGCCATTGTCCCGATAGCGTCAACATAAGTGTACGAGTCAGATACATAATAAATAAAAGTCCTGAAAAAGTGGGTTTTTTTCTATCAGGTTTAGAATAAAAACTTCTAAAATTTTGGACTTGTAGAATAATTCCTGCATATTGGGTAAATTGGATAAAACAACAAATTACGGTTTCGTTTTGATGTGCAGAAGGAAAAAGGAGTTTCATTCTCTGCATAGCATGGATTGGATGAAAGTACGTGCCAGAATTTTTTTTTCGCAGATAAACCATTGTTATTTCTTCAGCAAGCATTGACTGAATATTTATGGGAAAGTAAATCGGGCTATATTCCTTTAACGTCCGTTTGCATAAATTTTCAATTATAGCCAAGTTAATAGCAAGTTTAATTTTTAGGGCAGTTTTGTGCGTGCTTAGAAGACTTAAAGAGATGTCACTTCCTGAACTACGTAAGTTGGAATCCTTCATTTGTTGGGATCTTATACGTGTCTGAAGGCAGTGACTGAACAAATTAGTCTCTTGTCACACTTCGATAATTTAGGTAGTAGATGCCTCTACATCTCAGCCTTAAATCCATTCTTCAACCCGTGAGCTGGTGCACGTGGAGGATTTACTACCCATTTTTAAAAAAAACTATTCACAACCTACAGTATTGCTTGCACATACCTTCGATACACCAAGTCGCAATTTAGCAATCTTTTTACAGAAAAAACCATAACCGCCTTTTAGAGAAAGCAAATGAACCGAGTAGAGCTGTAGCGCTTGTTTGATGTTACAGCATTGATAGAAAAGGTGTTATAATTTTCGCGGACTAAGTTATGCTGAAAAATTTTGCAGGTTTCTCTTAGAAATAACACCAATGTTTTCCAAATTACGTGTTTATGGGCTCGCATAAATATGAGTAACCTAAAACAGACTTTGGTAAGAGGTATTGCACACGACCGTTAGGGACCACCCTTCCACCTCTCTTTCCCCTCCCCTCCCCTCTCCCCATCTGCGTCCACTTCCCCTGAGCGTGATT